TTCCACGAACTTTGCAACCATAACTGGAATTCCACCTAACTCATACTGAGCTAGAATTTGTGGCTGTTCAAAGTTGGCCAAAATTTCACATTTTCCATACTTAGCCAAAATTTCCAAAACTTTAAATTCTTTCCAAAAAATGAAAATTTCCAATTCTAAGCCTCTTCAATTATTTCGCATTGCCGGATGTTACAATACATTTAAGGGAAAATTGTAACAAACTATTAATTCAAATTAAATACTATAGTCATAGTTTATTTTAATTGTAATTTGCAACAAACATCTCCTTTTTTTGTCATTTGATTCGGTATATAATTAGCCATTTTCGATATACAATTAGCCATTTTATTCATTTCGATATAAAATGTATAAAATGTGTTTGTGTTTGTATAAATCGAGAGAAAAATGTATATACAAATACAAATACATATATTTTTGGCCCTATACACATATAATTATACAAATACAGATCTTATTATACAAATTACAATGTATAAATGAATTTATACAAAACTGAACAGTTTGTATAAAATTGAATGTTTGTAGCGAATAATACAAATTAAAAGCTCCATAGCAAACATAAAAATTTTTATGGAGCGCAATTATGCAAACTATAACTATAACATACAAATTAATTTTTATGTTTTCTATACGTGAAAGTTGCTCTACATTTAATTTCTAAAAAAATAAATCAAATATAACATATTTTCGACATAAAAAGACTAAAAACACACCTCTCAATTAGTTAAAAGTTAAACATGCTTCCTTCTTATTACAAAAATTATAAGAAGGCATATAGATAAAATATATTGCACATACTTTCTTGCATTATTATTATTTATATTGATAAATTAGAATAGCCATAAATATTACTAATACCTACTTTTCACCAGGTCCACCATAATACATTAAACCAGGAATAGTCGAGACATTATACAAATCACTATTGGATAAAAATGTAGACAATTGACTCTCTACTGTGTAGAGTCGTCCACCTCTATCACTTAAAAGTGTCATATTTTTACAAAATGCATCATAATTATTGTTTTCAATAGGGAAAAAACTTGAACCCATGGGAGGTTCGAGTATTCCTGGTGGACTATATACCACTCCACCCCATTCAACTCTCGTTACATAATATGCAAAGTCGTCATCAAACACTTCTCGAGGCCAAAAACCAAATGGTGTATTTGACTCCGTAGAGAACAACCACCAATTTCCTTCTTCTAGATCCTACACATTTTCATTCATCAATAATAATATATGGTTGGCAAATAAAGGTCGATAAATATATAATTACGTTTGATTTGAATAAAGAAAGAAAAAATACCCAATTTATCGATAGTCCTATATCAGATATATTCCCTCCACGTTGTGAAACGGGTTCAAATACTCCATCTATAGGTATTTGTGTGTTTAGAAGAACAAATCCAGGACATAACAAATTGAAACAACTACTAGTTTTACCATCCTGAAATTAAATATCAAAAGAATTATATGATTGAAGAATTGAGCAATTGAAATTATGAAATATATAAAATGCTAACCGTGAAATGTATGAATAACCTAGTTAAATTGTCACCATACAAGGCAGGGTCAACCTAAAACAGAAAGTAAATAACAATAAGTGTAGATGAAAATATGGATGTGGCTCACTTCTGTACAATATAGAAAAAGTTTTCTACTTACTCTCCAACCGACTTGTATGATATTTTTTTCCTTAATCATTTTTAATCGACATGCACTATGTTGTTCACCTTCGACACGAGGATTATAGACATTAGTTATTACCCCAGCTCCACCAAATTTGCTACCTGGAAAGTCTTCGGTATGAACGATTGCAAGCTGAAGATAGTAAATATATATATACAACCATTAATTAAATTTGAGAATTCTTCGCAAAGATATAGGATTAATTTAACATATTTAGATAGTAAATTATGATATGTACCTTGTACCCTTTTAAAGGTTTTTTTCTCTGCAATAGTAAGGTAATAATATAACATATATTATAATATAAAATGCTAAATTTAATTTGTGATGACAATGAATTTTTAGTGTTTTGTTTTAAAGTTATAAAATAGCAATGATAAATAGTGAAACATGACTCATTAAAATCATTTTTTTCAACTTAAAAAATATATATAATATAATATCTTACACGATCTAATGAATTGTTGAACATGACATTTTCTGATGGCGGCATAAGTTTATGTCTAATAAGATCTTCTTTAGTTGTTCTTTTGATAGGAACAGTTCTGACTGGACATCCTCTATCGGGTAATCCGATTCTTGACGACTTGTAATTACTTGTTGATGTAGTCGAAACACTCTCTTTCATAGAAAAAGATGGTTTCATCTGCTCATCCAAAATTTCTTTTCATAAAAATCACTACTCATTTTAAGATTTGAAAATAAAAATTGATTGTAACATCGGATATATTTTAGAGGCAAACCTGAGGATGGTAATTATGATTCTTCAATAAAGGATGGTCAAATGCAGGTTGCTCGTAGAAATTCACACAATCATATATGTCACCATATTTAGTCTGTAAATAAATAAAATAAAATATAACTGATTAACGTTATACCAGAAAGACAAAGAGTAATAGAAAAAAAATGGCTATTGAGACACAATATTCATACCTTAATGGTTTTAATTGGAGGTTTATTTAGGGCTTTTAGTTGCTTCTCCAACTCTAAATCTTCTTGTTTGGATAACTTTGTTCCTCGTACCCCATCATAACTCAAACATAGAAAGACCATTAACAAAAAATGATCTATGATTCTTTGATTCATTATCATTTTCTACATATATAACAAAAAGCAAATTCATCCAAAGACTAAAAAAATATTATAAATACGAAGATAATAACTTTTTGCTGATATATAAAAAAAGAAAGTATGAAAATTGACCATATATCACTTACTTGATTCACTAAATTTCTTGAGGTTGAATTTTTCTAGCAACTCTTGCTTAGACTACTGATTTTATACTTATTTGGATTAGAATTATATGGAAATTAATTCATAGAGCAGATTCACCCGTATAGGATATGTTTTATTTATTAAAAAGATTATCAAATACTTTTATGTTTTTATATTCTTACTTTTTATGTAGGAAAAAGTGTGAACAAATTTAATGATATTATTGTCATAAGGAGATTAATTATTTAATTAAAGTGAACAAATTATTTCATTTTTGAAGATTTGTTTTCTATTTAATAGGATATTAAGTAATTGATTGACCTCTAGAAAAGAAAAGTTCATGAAATCAATTTTGAATTAAAAACTCATCAATGAGTGTGATAATTTATTATTTCGTCATTAAATGGTTGTCTTAGAGTATTTTTTTTTTTTGTTGGGATTGATGAGTTTTCCCTTTGTGCAAATGTGAGGTAATAATATTAGAAGATATACTCTCTCCGTCCAACAATATATAGTTGTCCACTAGTTATACTATTTTGGGATGTTCAATAATATTTGAGTTCGAAGCCAAATATTTCAAAAGATCAACAAAATTAATTTTAGAACCAAAAGGACAATTTTTTAACCCCCAAATTAACACCGTTCAAATTAGGGTAACAACCGCAAGACGCGAATTTCCATGACTTAAATATGTTTAATTTTTAAACAATTAAAATGTGTGATTTTGTCGTGTATGTGAAAAATATGTTATGTTGGATCATTTATAAAAGGGAAAATTGTATAAAATAACAAATTATTAATTCAAATTAAATGTTATAACCACAATTTCATTTAATTCTAATCCGTAGCAAACACTTGTCATTCGCCTCTCTCCCCAGAAATCTCGCTCGTCACTCTCCCTAATCTCGCTAGTCACTCTCCCTCGCCTCTCTCACTTTATACAAACACAAATATATAAATTGCATTTGTGTTTGTATAAAGCGAGAGAAAACTGTATATACAAATACAAATACATATATTTTCGTCCTATATACTTATAATTATACAAATACAGATCTTCCCCTACCAGTTCTCCTTTGCCTTTCTCTCTTTCTCGCTTTATTCAAACACAAATTATACAAATTACAATGTATGGTTTGTGTTGTATAAAGCGAGAGAGAGATTTGATATACAAATGTTTTATTTCAATTCAATTGTATACAAATTTAAATTTTATGCAGATATACAAACACAATCATTGATACATATACATAGTATTTACATATATACAATTACCTAGCCGATATACATATACAATCGCTGCGATTTTCTACAAACGAGATGTCTGCCTGCGATTTATACAAATCCGATGCTCCATAGCAAACTATGTTTACTATGGAGTGCAATTATGCAAACTATAGCTATAACATACAAATATGATTTTTATATTTGCTAAACCTAAAATCTCTTTATAAAATTATATTACCATCAAAGATGATCAACCATTACAAATTTAGCATAATATTAAATAATAAAGTGGTAAAATGCTTATAATTATGGTAAAAAGGAGGCCCTTTCATCAATTGCTTCTCTTAAAAATAATGAAACGCTTTAGTGTCCCTCTCCTGTGTATCATTTTAAAATGAAGTTTTGTCACATGAATTAATCTATTTAAATAGAGATTAATCTATTTGTTGAAATTCTATAGTTAGATTGCGTCGTATTTGATGTTTATACATGTTTTTTACGTTAAACTATCATCAATATTAAAATTGATACGGTCCTGTATGACAATTTCTTGTACTAGCTAGTGAAATTTTAGCTTCTAATTAAGTAGCTCTGATTGACTACCTAAACATTCACATTATTTGTGAGTCAGATTCGATTCGATTAAATTTTTATCCCTTACCTCCTTTTCTTAATAATTTAATAAGATACTCACACACTGAAAGAGGATCTTGACAACACATACGAAATTAATCAATCATATATGTAGTGCTGCAAATTACTCAAAGAACATAACTTAGAAAAAGTAAAAACAAAAAAAAGAAGATGTCCTACATAAAGAAATTGAAATAGGATATTGTATTGAATTAGATCTCACCAGGTCCACCATAAAGGATGGTATGATTATAATCAAGACCTGGATAATTAGGAACATCAATTACAGTATACAACATAGGAGTTGTTGAAAATGTTGGCAACTTAGAACCTAATAGATCAATGTTTTGACCCTTGTCATTTAAGAGTGTAATAACTCTACAATATGCATTAACTGTTGTACTTCTCATAAGAGGGTAAAGCCCTGAACCCATTGGTGGTTCAAGTACCCCAGCTGGACTATACACAACTCCACCCCATTCAACTTTTGTTGCAAAATTACCAAAATCATCAAACACTTCTTTTGGCCAAAAACCAATTGCTACATTGTCAAGGAATAGCCACCAATTCCCTTTCTCTTGATCCTATATTTTTTTTTCCAAAAAATAAAACATGGTTAACAAACATATATATAGTCATGCAATATGCTTAGTATGTAATATTAATTGGTGCTTCTACTTGAGGCCTATATATCTTGCTCGGATCCTTCAAGATGAGTGTTGCCCTGATGATTCATGTCGGATCCTTCAAAGTATCACTGTCAGATCCTTCACATGATGATGTGTGTCGGATCCTTCAACAAGATATTTTTTTTTTAAGGATTCGATACGACCATAATGATATTTTGAGAGGATGTGAGCAACATATACAGCCAAAACCCAAGTTGAATGTTTAATATACTTATAAATGACATATGATATGAACTAAAATTGGGACATATCAATAATTAAAGGAACAAAATATTAATAATGAAAGTTTTTTTATATATATATAAATAAAGGCAGAAAAGTTACCCATTTAATCTGAAATGCCATGTCATAGAGTTTCCCATGAATGGTGGAGGTGTGAGGAAATGCTTGACCCAAAGTGATATTTTGACTTACAATTACAAAGCTAGGACATAACAAATCGAAACAAGAATTTGTACCATCCTGAAAAGTATATTTTTAAAAGGATTAATATGTATAATTTGAGGGACAAGTTAAACAATATTACTAGTTGGAGACTTACATCGAAATGTATGAATACTCTAGTTCTATTATCGCCATATAGAGTAGGGTCAACCTAACAAAGCAAAATGAAAAAATAATGACATATATATATGCACCAAGGAAAATATTAATGTATAATTGATCTGACTTACTCTCCAACCCGTTTGTATAATATTTTTTCCTTTAATAAGTTTCAAGCGACATGCACTATGTTGTTGACCTGTACTGCGAGGATTATATATAGCAGCTATCATCGAAGCCCCACCAAACTTGTTATTTGGATTGTCATCTGTTGAAACAATAGCTAGCTGAAAAGAATAAAATGAGTTTGTAAATTATGAATTATTCTTCAATTTTGTGATTTGCATTATTGAAAAAGAGGATCACATATGATGTCCTACTCCAAATAAAAATGCCAAAGAGGAAAAATAAATCTATATATTTTATAAGTAATATTTACTTACCTTGTAGCCTTTCAAAGGTTTAATCCTTCTAGCTTTGGAATCATTGAAGTTGTCCCTCTGTGCAAAAGTAAGATTATAATGTTACAAGAGATGTTAAATATATACTGGAAATTAGACATTTTGTGTATTCTGTTATTATTAATTGGAAAAACTAAATATCAATTGAAACAACAAAAATCTTACATTAGTAAGTGGAGGATCGACAACGTGAACAGTGTCTTCTGGTGGTGGCAAAAGCTTTTGTCTAATAACATCTTCTTTAGTGTATCTTCTAATAGGAACTGTTCCAACAGGACAACCTTCGTCAGATAATCCCATTGACTGCAACGTAGCACTTGGAATACTCTCTTCAGTAAACAAAGAGGGTTTCATCTGTTCATCCAATTTTTTTTTCAATGATCATCGATTTTCATAATTGTAAAGTGTAAAAATTGATGGTAAAAGGATGTATCGGTGACATATATATACCTGAGGATGATAATTGTGATTCTTCAATAAAGGATGATGAAATGCAGGTTGATCGTAAAAATCCACACAATCATATATATCACCATATTCAGTCTGTAAAATTTTCAACACAATATTAATTGTTTAATTTATATATACTTCAAATTAAAATCGTAGCAAGCCACATACCTTAATCGTTTTAATTGGAGGCTTATTAAGGATTTTTGTGCCTCGAACCCCTTCATAGTTCATCAAACATAGAAAGAGTAGAAGAAAAAAATGTTGTATAATCCTTCGATTCATCACCAATTTTTCCATCTATATAAGAAAGTTCACGCAAACACTATAAATTAATACACGGAACACAATTATATTGATAAAATGAAATGTTAGATGCATACATATATTAAAAATTAATTTAAAAAATAATGAAATTGAATAAATTACGAACCACTAGTACTTGATTCACCAAGGGTCTAGAGGTTGAATTTTGCTAACAATTCTTGCCTATGCTACCATCATGAAGGTTTTATATACTTTGGATTAAAAGTGTATGTATTAAGCAAATCTGATTATAATTATATATTTACTATATATAGAAGTATTTAAGATTGCCAAATATATTTTATATTCTTTCTTTTTGTGCAGGGAAAAAGTGTTAAAAAATTAAATGTAGTGTCCATATATAATTAGTTAATTACCTAAAGGAGATTATATTTAGCCAAAGTGGGATTTTTTTTTCATTTAATGGATATGATGAGCTCTAAGAAATTAATTAGGGAAGTTCAAAATTGACTAAAACTCATTGATGGCTATTTTGGTAATTCCGTTCAATATTAATCTTTAAAAGTTTTCCTATTTAGTGCGAGTTTGAATTGACTTTTTTTAAGAAAAAATTAAAAAGTAATATTTTTGGTTAAACTTAAATTACTTTTAAGTAAAAAAAAAAAGGTAGGGAGAGTCTTACTTTTGACTTTTAAACTTTTTTTAAAGTCATTTAAAATTTATTTTAAGTTATTTTTTAATTTTTCAAACACTCTCAAAAGATAAAAATGACTTAAAGACATTTTGACCAATTTTTAAGTCCAAACAGACTCTCTTTTCAAGAGACAATCATGAATAGTTTTCTGATTTCCAGATATAATTACTGTTTTTATTGAATTGTGAAGTTCTGGATATATATACTGTTCTTATTAAATTGTGAAGAGATTTATATTATTAAGTTTTGGTACCCTTTCTAAATTAAGAAAAAAAATAAAGAGTAATTTCTAAATTAAACCATCTTTTGAAGGTGGATTAGCAAGAAAAGTCAAGTATTAAAACTTATGAAATGACTAGATAGATAGGTGATTCAAGTGAAAAAGAGATCTTGTTTAGTCCTAAAATTATAATGAACCAGATCCAAATAATTGTAACGGATCAAGTACTATAAAATAATAATGAACCAGATCCAAATAAACATATATTTATTTATTTTTAATTTTTTTGAAAAAGAAAAAGTTATTTTAGAGAGTTAAAGTGTTTCACCACATTTTTAGAAATTGAATATTTTAAAAATCTTTTTCTTATACACTCTTTTGAAATTTTAACCAAACATAAATTATTAGTCTATTTTGGCGAAATAAATTTTTGAAATTAACTTTTTAAAAGAAACACTTGTATCATTGCATAGTAACTAAACAACTTTTGAATTATTTTTTTACCAAACAGGCTACTAGTAACAAAAATCACGTATTAAAACTTTGTGAAATAATTGGACTAAAAAATTGCATCTAGAAAGAAAAATTAGAAATAAAAAAATTGGAGTGATCATTGTCCTGTCACGGTAAAAAGTACCTATGTACATAAAAGTCCTCCAATTTGAACATAAAATTCCTCCAAATAATTGAATGAAAATAATATGATGCATCTAGTAATTCAAACTAAATGTAGTTGTCATTATGTTAACCGAAAAATACGGTTAATTAATTTTTGAAGATTATTTTTTAATTCAATAGATATATGTATTTAGTGAAATAGTGCGTAAAAGAATAATTATTAGAAATTAGACATAATATGGATTGATAATTACAAGTCGAATCATGAGTCGATAGCTACTAAGCATTGATTTAACTTTATTTTGGTGGCACAATTTTCAATTTGTACCTAAAATTAGTCTAAAAAGTCCTCATAGTACGTAGTAGGAAACAATAAATTAAAATGATTATTGAAAAAACTTTAGAGGAATTAAAAAGTGTATACATATAGACAATGAAAATCCCATTAATTAAGATGTGGTTTTATTTGTCAATAATCAATCTATAAGTGGTAAAACTTCCAAAATCTAACTTTCTGAATAAAGAAAAATAATCCGTATTACCACCGTGATTTTTGTGATAAGTTTTTCTTTTTTTTCTTCGTCAAAATTTAGGCAATTATATTAGTGGCCTACTTAATAGGCTGCTAAACTACTAAAAACAATAGGGTGAGTTCCGCGCATGTGTATGTGATTTTTTGAAAAATGTTTTGTTTCGAAGAATGACGAAAATGATTATTCTAATAAAAGTAGGTAAAATAAATTTCATAAATGATATGTGTGTTACCCACTTTTCAACACTTTACCCGACTCCACACCCCTACCTCCATCGCAGTGGCTCCTCAAGCTAATTTTTGGCCTAAAGCAAAAACAAATTGGAGGCTTAGTTTTTTTTTTTTTTTTAAATTCAAAGTTATTTCTTCTCTTTGATGAAAAGCTTTATTTTTCCTAGGAAAAATGATCAAATATGCCCCTAAACTATGTGAAAATGTCTTGATATACCCTGTTTGAAGTTTGACTCATCTATGTCCTCGCCGTCCAACTTTTCGTATATATATGCCCCTGTAGATGTTAGTTGCTTTGCTGGAAATACCAGCTCATTTTCTCTTTCTTTAAATAACAAATGGAATTGCCATATGTCATTTATTATATTAAAAAATGAATACACCTCTTTTAAATAGAATTAGATCCGTAAATCATATCCGACCCAAGGTGGCCGGAGTTTGAATCCCTCCGACAAGATCTAAAATGAGATGACATTTGACATTTGAAACGCAACTATTTTGGGGTCATTTGCTGGTTGTTTTGCCAGACCAGTGAGGTGTGGGGGTTGGGGTTTTGTCGGCTACCTTGGGGGTGGTGTTTTGGAGCTTGTGGTGGTTGGAGCTATTTGTCCGAGGTTGTGCGAATCAGTGAGCTCACTGGAGCTCTGTTGTTTCCTCATGGTTAGAGCTCGATTCTCACTTTTAATGGTGTTTTTCTTTTAGGAGAAAACGATGGATTTGGTTGGAGATGACATTTCTCCGACCAAACAAATTTGGTTGGATATGATTTGTCGGCTTATGTGAAATATCCACCAAGGGAATTTGGGTCGGATAGAATTTACGGGTCGGGTATTCTATTTAAAAGATGTGTATTCATTATTTAATATAAATAAATGACATGTGGTAATTAAAAGAAGATGTGACAATTCCATTTGTTATTTAAAGAAAGGAAAAATGAGTTGGTTATTTCCAGCAAAACAACTAACGTCAACAAGGGCATATATATGTGAAAAGTTGGACGGCGAGGGTACGGATGAGCCAAACTTCAAACGGGGTATATCTAGACATTTTCGCATAGTTTAGGGGCATATTGACCTTTTCCCCTTTTTTCTATGGTCTTAAACTAAAGATATAGTATCAAAATATTTTTTAATCTTATGATCTTAAACATGTCATGTGGAAGTTAAATTTAAAAATTGACAAAAAAGAAAAAAACATTCTTTAATGTTTCGAAACGAACTAAAAGAACGACACAATATAATTTATTTATTTTTGTTGAAAAATATTTATAATAATTACTAGAAATTGAGGCCCTCAAATTTGGGGGCGTAAACGAACGCCTCATTTATAAAGACATTGAACTGTCCCTGCCTCCATCTCCATCTCCACCTCCACCTCCTATTGTATTAGTGTATATTATATACAAATGCTTTAAAATCATATTTTTCGCTTACATACGAAATAAAAAAAAAAGTAATAACCCATTTATTTTCTTAAAAAAATATTTTATAATAAATTAAATATTTTTCATCAAAAACATTTTCTTCGGTCGTATATTAGTTTTCACTTTCAAAATTCAATTCATTGACAAATTCTTTTTTCTTTTTGACTTGCAATATGCCGATAAAACCAACATCCATTCTTGTCCTTTTATATACCTCAGCAAAAAGTAATTCATAATTTTGAAATTGAAAATACATGTGTAAGTCTTTTTTTTTGTGAACTATACGTGTGAAGTCATCATATAAATACATTATTTTTTTTTAATATATATTATAATATATAATTCAAATAAAAGTGATATTGAATCGCCTCTTGCCTAGGGTTACGAGAGAAGAAAATGATCATTTTCATGTTTTATGTATATTAGTGATGTCGTATCTCTTAACATGATAATATTCTCCTATATATGTATGAAACAAATCATATGAAATCTGTATTCAAATATATATCATATAGTCAAACTACGATTAAATTAAGATGCATGCACACGTCATATGGCTCATCAATTAATTAGCACAATTTCTATGTATGCATTAAAGTTTTTAATCAGTAAATTACTAAAATAAAGTGAAAAATATCATATATTATAATTCAATCATAAAAGAAGAAAAATAGTATGTGTCCGGCCATATCATGAATATGTGTTAGTTGATCTTTGCTTGTAAATAAATTCAACTTCTCTATATTCTTTTTCAGACTGTGGTAATCATTTAAAGGAATAAAACATGTATTCCTCAACAGTTTTAGTACAAACTTAGCTTTTCCTTTACCAACAACAATATATAATTATCACAACGGATGTCACTAGCTCGCATTTGGGAATAAAACTAACCTTTTATATATATATATATATATATATATAT